CTCAATCTGGCTTTACTGAACTGGCTCCTGTCACTGTCACTGTGTTTTTATTTTGATGCGTAACAGCAGGAGAGATGCACCAATGGACTAAGGCTTTGTCGTTGATGGAGAGGACCACCGGGGCTCCACAGTCACGATTCACACACACCAGCACCACCTGTCACAATTATATCCCAGAAAGTTCTGTCCTGAGACTCTAGCAAAGTAACACCATGTCTAAAACCAACAAAAGGGATTCATTTTGATTTGTTCTTGTATATTTTTTTCCTTAGGAGGTTTATGTTTGTTCTATGAACTCTGAGTGAATAATTATGTTCCTAGAAGTAAATATATTAGACATATTACTAAGTAATTTTTTTCAATCGATGTATTTCCAATTGCATTATTTTTACTTGATAATACATGTTTGAAATTCTTAATAAACTGGCACCAAGTACTTAGAACCCACAATGATTAAGATAATTTTGGGAACACACACTTGGCACTCAGAAACCATGACCCAGAGCTTTTTAAATTTAAATGCCCACCCCTGGTAGGCTCTGGTGGCTCACACGGGCAGAAGGAAGACTTTGTATCAAAATGGTTAACTTGGGCATATCACAGGTAGACCTCTGGATTTCCACCATGTTTTGAATTTGTTAAAGATGCCACGGCACATCTTCACCAACCACGATGGTGAAACCCCTGGATGTGACAATTTTTATCTTAGCAGCTGAGTTAGCTTTATCAGCATGGTTAGTTTTATCCCTCATTCACCTTATGAAGGCTCCACATTCTGGTCACCAGTGTTGGCGCTCTGAGGACACAAAGGTGTTTCTGCTTTCAACATGGGCTAACGCGCCTAGATGCACTAAAATGCACCGGTGCTTTGACTAGAAGTACGAGACACAGATCAGGCACAAGGTGAGAAAAGGAGTCACTAAGCCCAAACCATGTGCAGATTTGTGGGAGCCGAGGACGCCACGTCGCCGGCCCAGCCTGTCTAACTGCCCAGGCACGGACCACTGTACCACCTTGCTCAGAATCAACTCCCCTTAGGTGCTGGAGGGCAATTTGTCTTAGCAGGAGAGAGAGAGAGAGAAACAGTCTTAGAGGAGAGTGAATCTTAGCAGTCTTCATAGAAGGACGCCAAGTAAGGTGCTCTCCAAGCAGGAGGAACGAGAGTTAGAGGGAGCGGGTCCGTGAGAGAATGAACGAATCTGGTCTGACCGCTCCTGCAGCTACTTATAGACGTGATCCTGTGGCTATTTGTACCACAGGTGTGGAGATTGCCAAGCACTGACACTTGAGGAGAGCCGAATTCCTTCCACATGCCCTTCTCACCAAGGTGTTAGCGACACGTTACATCACAGGTGTTTCTTATAGTTACAGAGAATTTAAAGCTTAACTCTCTCGTCTCCTTCCCTTGAATCATCTGGTCTCCTACACAGGCTTCTGTTAGATGAACAAGGTCAAACAGAGTGGTGCAAGGCATGAAATGAAGGCGGGGGAAGGAGTGATTGGAAGAATTCGTATGGCTTGAACTTTGGGCACTGGTGGGAGGGAAGGGGAATCTAAAGGAACTCTGGAGTGCTAGAGGGCGTGATGGAGAGCCATGGACCTCTGTCCAAAGAGGGCATGCTTCACGAGACCGCTCATGGGAACACACTGAAGGGTTTCCATTGGGAAAAGATGGGACTCAATTTATTGTCTTCCCAAAATCTCTAGGACACTAAGTGTGGGAGGACACACTGAAGATGTGTAACATGATCGGTGATAAAAATTAGGAAACAAATAGAAAGAGCTCTGATGAACAAGGAGAAATGTCTGCAGTAAGGAAGTGATAACAAGGACGTTGAGATAGAATTCCCCTCAATCCTCAATAGTATCTGAACAGCAGCTGGTAGGTGTAGAACTTTATTTTATTTTTGTAGTTTAGGGCTGGGGCTGGGTTTGAACCCACCACCTCCGGTATATGGGGCCCCATACTCCTTTGAGCCACAGGTGCTGCCCTAGAACTTTATTTTCTACAGGGAGATTGAAATTAGGTGTCACCGTAGGTGTTAGGGATGACAGAAAGGGATCCATGGAGGATGGTTTGAGTCCCTGGTTTCCGTCTTGGGAGCAATAAGATGGAGGGTGTTCGAAATGGGGAGATATGGGGACCCAGAATCATTAATTTTTGCCTAAATAGCAAATGCTGTGCCTGTGGGGTCCACAAGAACTCTCCGTGGAACTGTTTCATAAGCAGCTGGACATTTGGGTCTGGAGCTCAGCAAATGGAACAGAGTCAGACCCAAATATTCAGCTGGCACAACAATGGTAAAAGGTAGCAACTCATCTTTGCTTAATGAGAGCATGTCAGGGGGTTAAGAAAATGTCTACAAGTTTGCTATTTGGCTAATTGAATTTATTAAGAGTAATTGTTGCCTTAAAAATTGAGCGTGTTATCATTTCTCTAAAGTACCCTACAATATAACCGTCAGTTCTAACGTTTTATTTCTGTTCCCCCAGTTCTGGGTCTGCACACCTATTTCTCCTGCAAGACTGTGGGTGCAAGGAGCTTGAGCATCTGAGGATAAAATCCTCTGAGGTGGACCTACAGGAGGCCCATGTGAGGAAAGCGCCGTCTGACAAAGACGAGATGATTCGTCTGAACATACACACTGAAAACTTCAACTTGGTGCTATGTGAAAAAGGTATGAATATAAGGTAGTAACTTTATTGCTAGTAAGCAGATCCAAAATAAATCAGAAACTTTCCCTGTAAGAAATTTTAATAGAATAAAGGGAACTTTCATTATGTTTGTATTCGATAGGGCTCCATCCTACTGATTTGATGCAATTACTGTCAGGAGTGTTTCTGATTCTTCTGGAAGACAAACATAAATTTCAAGTCTAAACTGCCAATTAAAGGCATGAGAAAGATTCCACAAAATTAAACATGAACAAGAATGATACGATAGGAAAAGAAAGTCACAGTAACTCAGGGACCGCACTTAGGAGAAGGGACTTTAAAGGAATATCAGTATCGGAGTCCTGGACAGAAAGTAATTACATGACGATCTGGAGTGACACCTGGGGGTATGTTTTTAAATGGTCCCCAGGTGATTTTAACTTGCAGCCAGTGTTTGGAACCTTTGTATTCTGCACACGGGCAGAAGATGGAGAAGGAAGAAAAGCTGGTAGTGTGGGGTATAGAAGGCCTTAGAAGTCATTTTGCAAAAAGTAAAAAAGAATTCGTTTTGCATTTGTGACTATCAGAAGCTCAAAGAAAAGTCCCAGAAAGTGCTAGTACTGTAGTGTGCTGTACTGACGGGACAGTCATTAAGGGATTAAATACAATGTTGAGTTTTGATCATCTATCTTAAAAAGAAAAGGACTCAGAGAAAATCAGCCCATATGATGAAAGGGAATAAAAGTATACACGGCATTACAAAGTGATTAGGAAACCAACACTAAAGTAACTTCAAAAGAAAACACAAGCAATTATGAAACAACTATTCCTAAAATTCTGAGAAATTTTCTGGTGTCCTATGGGCACAGCTTATTTTGCCCTTCAGAAAGAATATTTGACGAGATTTGTCTGTAAATATTTTTACAGTGCTAACAAACTGTGTTTTTAAAGAAATAAAAATATGCAGACTTCTAAGAAACCTCTCAGATTATAAATTTACCTAGAGGATTCTTTTGGATAACTTTTTATAAAAAAGATAAAAAGTTCCTAGAGACAGGATACGATAACCTTACGATAACATCAAACATGTTCTTTCTAGAAGGGACACTAAATCTTCTATGATATTTGCAGCTCCATTTTTAGTACCAGACAACACAACATTTGCTTCAATATTAACCTGTAACTCAGCAGAAGGGTCCCTCTCTGTCATTTCAGCGTTGCAAGAGTTCAGAACACTGAGTAAGGGTTACAATTTATCTGCCCTTCCGTTAGTAACTTTGTCCAACCTGCCCTTGTTTTACTGAGAACAGAACAGCCTTATCATCAAACAACCCCTCTGCCCTTTGTACTTCTCTTGGCAAAAGATTTCCCCCTGTGTATGGTTTATTACATCAAGTTTTGTCTACTTTCTGCTGTTGTAACGAAGTCTAACCAAAGTTCACCTTGGATTCTCCCAGTGCCCATGAAACCTGGGTTTAGCATTCCAAAAATTTAGTTAAATTAGAATGAATGAAGGCACAAAAACACTTCTGTAGCCCATTATTGTGTTAGTTACACAAATCAAGTTAGTATATTTCTGTTTCACATGCTCATTCACTCATTAATTCATTTTTAAATGAGAAGCGTCTAGGTGCTAGAGGCTGACACTTTACGGTCAAAAGGAACAGCCCCTGTTCTATAAGGGCTATGAGCCTAGAGAGAAAAAGTGAGCAAAAGCAGTTCTAGGGATTAAAGTGCACCAACACACATGCTGACAAATATATTAAACACATCTATTTCGCTGAAAAATAAACACTTAACAAATAGTTATCACAAAGCACAGAAGACACTAACAGGCAGAGATTAAGAACATTGGAAGGCTGTGAATGAGAGTGGTTCCTGGTATTTCCTATTCCCAGAGTTACTAAACGGGAACAATCAAGGCAGAGAATGGGGGTGTGGGATTCCTGACCTACGGGGAAAAGTGAGGGCTGTCAGCAGAAGAAAACAGAGCAAGGTCTAAGAGAAGGTTTAAAGGAGTGAGGGGATAGGTAACTTAGATTAAGGTGTTTTTGAGAACCTTGTTCACAAATAAATTAGAGGGGACTGCCAATGATGTAAGAAGAAACTAATGAAATAAAGTCATTCTGAGGATATATCAAGGAAAAAAATTAAATTGGTTAAATTTCTGACCTATATCTTTCACATAGATACAATGAAACGCTTTAAGAGGTTCTCAATGGAAAGAGGACATTGTACCTTTCGGCATTTTTTTTCTAAGTCAGGCTCTTTTTCTTAATCCCAACAAAGAAGGAAGGCCAAAGCCCTCTTCTGAATCAACGCATTAGACCCTGGGGGATACGTACTCATCCTTGTCCACCTTCTCGCGCAGTTTCTTTAGTTGTTTACTTTGGCCGAATTTCAAATTCTGAATTATGTTCTCGAAGTATTCATCTTCTTTGTAGTTCAACTATATGATATAAAAGATTTGGGAGAAATATTCAAACCCGTGTCTTCTAAAAAGTAGGAAGGATATTTTCTTAAATTCTATGATTTAATAAAGTTAATTGGGAGCATTAAGAAACTTACCAAAGGATTTCAGTCCAATTAGCTTAGTCCTACAGTAAGGGCCAGTGCTGCTCTAGCCACCTCACACCTTCCGTCTACTCTTTTATAATCAATCAAATGAAACCAAGTGTCAGACAAACCTCACTGTGACAATATTGATCCTCAAATAACACATAAGGATAATAGCACATTTTTATTTAGAGCCTACCATGTGCCATGTACCATTCTAAGTATTTAAATATGTATTATGCTCATGTACTCTGGGGAATAACACTATGAACTGCTAGTCTCACTTTAAAGCTGAGGAAACTGAGATACAGTTTAATCACTTTTGCAAAGTTTCAGTGATAGGTGGAACTGAGGGTGACCAGATTTTAACATGTGTAAAGCGGGACAACATGGGGGCGGGGATGGGGCAGGGGACGGGGCAGGGCAGGGCCTGACAACAATGCAAACTTTGATAAGCAGTTCTCGAATAATCACTTCTCAATAATTATTTGTTATTATTACAGTTTAACATTGCAAAATTAACGAAAATAATATAAAACTCATATTCTGGCGAAATAGCCACATGGCAGCCAAAAACTATATATTCCCTCCCTGTTCTCCCGCCCGTTGGTGCATTCTTTCCAAAAATCTGGACTTTTATAAAAGGCCGCGGGCTGCAGGACAAATTGTTGAAAAGCGGGACTGTCTCGCCAAAAGCGGGAAGTCTGGTCACCCTAGTAGAACTGTAATTTGAACCCAAGGAGCTTGACTTTGAGTTTATTGTTTTAGCCACCACACTCCCGTCAGAAGGACCCCTGGGGCTTGCAAGCAGAAGTCTGCTCATTTAAAAAAGAAAGGCAAGTTTTTCTGCAAATGGAAAAAGACAAAGAGGGCAGGAAACCACCATTTCAAGCTAATAATCAGTGGGTGAGGAATCGCTGCCATCTGTGAAACCGGGCAATGACTGATCACCTGACTATTGCCAGGATATCAAATAGTTAAGAGTAACCACAAGGCCAGTCTGAAATCAATACTGTATTAACTTTAATTGACTCTCTTCTCTTCAGTTTTTTTTTTTTTTTTGCATATACATGTGTTTATTAGGTTTCTACTTTTTGCCTCCACAAAATTAAAAAGAATTAAAATTTAACAACAATAACAATGTTTAAGATAAGGACTAGAAACAAAAACCTCATAAATAATGAATGAAGATAAATACATTCAGAAAAGAAATCAGATGATTGCTGCAATGAAGTATTTAGCAATAATAATAATAGTAATGCAAAGAAAGTAACATTCACATTATCAAATAAGAGTAGGTCTATTATAGAATGCTTTGACTCTCAGATTCAGTATGGATTGACTCTCTCTCTTTTAATTGTTATATTCCCAGAGGAGAATAAGTAGTTTCTCGTTCTCAAATATTAGCTGATTTATTTTTTTAAATAGAGGAAGCATGTACTCATTTGCCCAGTTGGGGGAATAATCAGAGAGTGCAAAGAAAGCTGAACCTTTGCCTATCCCCGTGATGTCTACCCCGTGGTGCTTTTTAAGGCAGATTTATCTTATTATTCTTAAATGGAATATATGAAAATCAAAATAAAAAAAAATGCAGTTCGGACTAATGAAACAAAAGGCTAAAACATAGTTCTAGCATCAGTGTCAAAGGCTTGATATAATGAGACCTATGGTTTAGGCTGCGTCAATTATTTCTAGCACCCCATCGCTAAAAATGAGATTGCCACCGGCTGCAGGTGTCATTAGCCCAGAGTCTTTATAAAGACTTACCTCGAGGTACTCGTTATTCAGTTTGTTATCATTTGAAATAATGTCATCAGGATAGCCGATCCTTTCTTTAATTGCTAAGGCCTATGAAAATTATAATATTGAATGTGAAGACGATGATGTAACTTTCAGATGCAAACATTAAAATTGGCCCTTGAATAACTTGATCTATACTATTCCCAGGAAGATGATCTGACAACACAGAAACAGAGATCTCTGCCCTGGCTCCTTTCTTCCTGAAGTTCAGAAATAAACAAAAAAGAGGTCTGAAATTTAGCTTCTACTGCTCTATTCTAAAAGGCTGCACCTTTCTCAAAGAAGAAAAACACGAAAACTGGCAGAAGTCATTGTTTCAGATATACTGCACTTTCACAAATGTTTGCTCTGAAAGCCCTTTTTTTTTTTTCAACTTTACAGACCGGGTAATATTTAGAGCTTACATTCCAGCTGATTATAATTATCTTTCTACATCACTGATGTGGCTGAGAAAACAGATAGGGGCTTACAGCTTCAGTGCTAATATTCTTCCTAACTATTGGTTCCTGGGGTTTTTATGTTCTCCTTTGTTTTCTAAAGCCAGGGTCCCTCTCTTCTCAAGTTAAATGAATGACACTAATTAAACAGGTGAAACAGTGTCTATCCCAGCACATGTTTACTATTTCTTACCATTATTTCTAATAGTCTACTATTCCTTTAAAACGGTTTGTTTGACTTCTTTTTATCATTATCACCACTTGTTTAGCTACTTGCTATTTCTACTTTTATTCTTTTATTCTCTCTTCATTTTCTCAAAGATTTTTGACTTTTGATTTTATCATCTCACATTGCACTTAAATAATTTACTGAATTTGAATATTTCATGGGGAACTTCATGGGGAATTCAGGCTGTACCTTCTGAGTTTCTTGGTTTGTCATGAACTGAATGAGGTTTTATTACAAATCTTTTACGTAGCCCAGGATTTCCCCAGTGGTCAGGCAGCATATGTGTCACTGAAGCCATTTAGGCCAAGGCCATTTTCCTGCAGGTTTCTAAACCATTAACTAGCCACAAATCAGCCTCTTCTCCACGACCCTTTATTTCCTCTGAGGCATTTCTCTGAATAATGTTCTAATGGGCACAAATTCTGCAGAACATAAATGGCACTACATAAAAAAGATTTATTGTCAAATACTTTGGGTACATACTGTAGCAAAAATATTAAGCAAGTTTCTTTATCAGAGTACTTCTTATAATTAAAAAGAAAAGATTAGATTTAAAGGTTAGACTCTGAGGTCATTGGAAGTGTCCAAGAGGAAGAATTCATTTGTTGATTGATTTATTCAACATATGTACAAGTGTCTATCTAGAGCTAGGCACTTGGTAAAGGGCTGAGGATGTGATACTGGGAGAATTTTCTTCCCCCAGCGAGCCTACCATGAAAAGCAATAAGCAATGGAATGAATATTAACATATTAACTTCCAAGTGGGATGTATGCTGCCATAAAAATCACACTCTAGGAACATGGAACCCAGCTTGGGGAGGGATAAGAGAAGTCTTCCTGCAAGAAGTGATTACCAAGCTCTTCTGGCCATGGGACTCTTACAAAACAACCTGCAGGTGCAGCACTTGTAACACCACTCTGGAAATGTTGGTCTAGAGCAATTCAGTTATCGACACCAAGAAGAACCGTATTATGGAGCCACAGTGTGAAAGGAGCTAATCCAGCCTGAACACGGAGGAGCTGGCCAGAGCGATGGAGAGAGCTGTACTGGGGGTCTAAATGCTAGTCCCACCCTCCTCAGGGCTCTTTAAGAGCTGAAAAATGAGAGTCTTTCTACATTTGATTTAATTCTTAAAGAAAACTAGACCAGAGGCTGATTATATTATTAAAATAAAGTTTATTCAGGACTCCTATATCAATCCAAAGAATAGTCTGTTTTTTCTGCACCCTAACTACAGGGAAATAGGTTGCATGTGAATTATTGCTCACAAACCAGGCCCACAGTTTTCACAGGACATGGTCCTCCTGGCTATTGTTACGCATAATTTACAAAGACAAATGATCATAGTAAATCTGAACCTACAATTTTGTTAGAAATCTCACACTTATATAAGATATTAAAAGTCCCAGTAATAGCTACACATATAGAAATAGTTATAAATGTCATTTTCAATATCCCTTTAATTATAGATCTTAAAATACACAAATAATGTGCCATGTTACATTTGCTTGAACAGAAATTTAGTATTTTTTTCTCCCAAGGTCAAATAAAAAGCTATTAATAAATAGGACATGTTTTAAAAGTTTAACCAGAATTCTGCATTATATATTAAAGAAACATTTTTCGTCATTTACAGAGACCTTCTAGATATACTTCTATAAAAGGAGGGGAAAATATGAACCACTGATATAGTAGCTTTTATTTTATTTTTTTTCTTGGCTGAGGGCCAGGTTTGAACCTACCACCTCCAGTGTATGGGGCCGGCACCCTACTCCTTGAGCCACGGGTGCCACCAGTAGCTTTTAACTCTTTATTGGTTCATATAAGTTTTTCCTCTTATTTTCCAAACTCTTCCTTAAATGAAAAGAAAATGATAGTACTTTCAAAGTTTTAAAGTGGGTGCTGGCTGCAGAGATAAAAAATGAAAATCATATTATTAAAAAAAAATGTCCATGAAAACTGGAGGAGCTTATGATGTTTCATGCAACCTTTGACTGTACTTTTTCCTAATATTCTGAAGTTCCTCTTTCCCCACGATATTTCTCTCTAACCGGGAGCCCCCCTGCTCTTTACCTTTTCCTCGGCTCTCTTCTTCGTCTCAGCGTCCATCCAAGTGAGGTCATCTAGAGTCTGAATGAAAACTTCCCGGATCTGTGCAATCAAATCCTCAACCTCAAATCAGAAGACAAATTTAGGCCATTAAGTCATTCTTTGTAACACAAATACAAAAAATTTAGAACTGCCTGCTGTCTTTATGTGACTCAATCATATGGTAATAAATTTGCAGGCCCGGTGTGGTGGCCCATGCTTATAATTCTAGCATTCTGCAAGGCTGAGGTGGGTGGATTGCTTGAGCTCAGGAGTTCAAGACCAGCCTGAGCCAGAGCGAGACTCCATTTTTACTAAATTAATAGAAAAACTACCCAGGCATTGGGTCACATGCTTGTTTTCCCAGCTACTTGGGAGGCTGAGGCAAGAAGAGCCCTTGTGCCCTGGACTTTGAGGTTGCTGTGCGCTATGATGCCAGAGCACTCTACTGAAGGTGACAGTGTTCTCTGTCTCAAAAAAAAAAAAAAATATAGACAAACTGTGACCTAAACAGATTCATGGGATCATTATAAAGTGATATTGCTACTATCAACACTTCTGATTAAATAGGTCTTAATACATACATTAATTTAGGAGTCATCTTCAGAATACAATGGTTTCCATTATCTAATTTGAAGAAGTAACACAAAATATTAGCTGCCATTCCCATTGGTGGTTTAGTTAAGCATGAGGTAGCATTTCAATAGATTCTTTCCCTATACCAAGTTCCACCGCCTTGCCTTGAACATCTGTTACACTTCAAATAAAACCTGGTTACTTTCTAGGTTTTTAAACCAATAGCACTTCTTTGTCAATTCTGGTGATAGAAGAGATTACAAAGGACTGTATCTACAGAGTGTGCGACCGGGTTCTTTGCATGTATTGCTTCTGGAAAATGGAGAGTTGGCTTCAGACTGAATGATACTAGGACCAGAAACATAAGGAGGCCCTGGGGAAGGTAGGGTGAAATTTACTGGGAAACAGTGGCCGATTATGATTCAGAGGTTCTCCACCTAATTAATAAAACAGCAGCCAAGTGATGGACAGCTGTCACTGCCCATCTAAGCGACAGTGTGGTGCGCAGCAGATGGTGCATTGTTCTGGAATCATTACCACATGTTTACTGGCTCCAGCAAATGCGGTTTCTACGTAAAGCCTTCCCACAGCATTTTCCATGTTCCCGTTGACGTAGTTCGCACAGCGTCTCCAAGTGGCCGTTTCCGATGTTGTGCCGTAAAGGGCCTGCGGAAGAGAAAAGGGAAATGGCGTCTGATGGGCAGGAGAGGGCCGGTGGATGGTAAGAGCACACATTTCACATGGCTCTACTCTTTACGTCTCTGCTATATCCTTGTAATAGTCATTGCTTCTCCTCACAAGCCACATGTCCTTAGATTCTGATAAAATATAATCTCACTGGATTGTTCACTTACATATGATCTGAAAATAAAGTGTATTTTCAGTATCGTGTCCCATTAGAATTTTTAGCTATTACAAGGTAATATCATTCTAGAAAGCTTTGGGGAAAAAAACCCACAACATTGTAACCACTGCATAAACATATAGGCAGAGTAATGTTCAGTAAATGCACCGGGGAGAAACCTGGTATACCAGAAAACACATTCCTGCTTTTTAATGTTCTAGTTGAACTGGGGGTACACAGAACTGGGTATGTATACATTTATGTATTATAAGGTGATTAATTTAAGTAGGGGAAATTTAGCACAATACCATCTTTGCATTCTTTAATTTAAAAATATATGTCTACTTTTTCTTTAGGATAAAAACTGGAAATTTCAACCAGTTAGCTATTTGAATTCTTTTCTTTTCAGGACACCATCCAGTCTGTTCGCTAGAGTCCCTCCTTGCTCAATTCCTGCTGTTTACTCCCTTCACAACAGGACTGAAATGATGATTGTTTGACATAAGTGTCGGTACAGCCCAAGCAAAGGCCGTCAAGTTACATCCAGGCAGGTGTGCTCCCCGTGGGTTTCCGTGTCTTTGTAGTCCGTGTGTGTACGTCCAGTGTGCAATGAGCACCTGAAAGTCAAGTTAATTCAGACAGATACCCCTGCAGTTACTTTTAACACACCGACAAGGAAAATCAAGGCAGCATTCTTTTATGAACTGCTCAAACGCCAAACAAAACTCCTTGCAGGGCAATGCAATCATGGTGCCGTGTGGCCCATCGTGGGATGGTAAAGCCCGTACGGGCTGATCTCTCTCCTAGACCACATACCCTACAGACCTGCAAAATCACCAGCATTTGGCACTCTGTCCCCTGGCAAAGTTCACCACATTCTAGCAGTGTACATGGCAAGCCTTTATAACCATGTATCACCTTATGCTTTAAGTCTTAAGAAAAGAGAGATTTTTTCTTCACCTTGCGGAAAGCATTTCTGGACTCCTTGTAGGTTCGGCTGAGGCTGCTTACAAGATCCATTATGAACCGCCAGGACATTAAATTTTGAAGATCTCTGTATAAAAAAACCCACCACCCAGCAACAGAAAAGATGAGGCTGCAGAGCTTCTAAAGAGTGATATGAAATGCTAAACTTTGATGACATGGGCACTATGGCATACCTACCTGGCAGAATATTTGGTAAGAATGGGCTTAAGTTTGCTTAAATATTCTGGAGCATAAACAACCACATCTTCCTCATTTGGAATATGAATATTCACAGTTGACATAATTTCATTTGTGAAATTTGACCAGCTGAATGGCTGGAAAAAAAAGCAGGCATAAAACATTCAGTCATTAATGGATTTTTCTTCTGTTTCAAGACAATTCTTTTTAGAGGGTGAGACATTAAAGAATGTCTTTTGCATCACTAGAAAAATGAACACAAGGGTCAGTGTGATATTTGCTTGGCATTTTCCCTCCATTGTTTCAGTTCTTGAATAAAAATTCGGTCTGCGGCATGATTATTTAGATAAGAGAATGAAACTCATCATTTAAGTAAGAGCAAAACAAAGCCTCCAAGCTTAAAAAACATATAACTAGACTTAGGCTCAATGTCAAATTCCTGGTCTAACCAATATTAAAAAATAAGAAAAAGAAAGCACTAAAAGTAAAGCTTTTGGGATTCATGCAGAAATGAACACGTGTACAAAGTGGTTATCTTTTTAAAAGTGGATTTTAATAAACAATGTGTTTAAACACAGTAATATATCCCACTGGAGATACTGCTGTAAACAAAAACAGATCAGAGGTCCAGTGATGTTATGAAGCCAAACCAGATAGACTTTAAACTCCTGAGTCTACAGGCATCTAGTTTTTATACTTCAAAAGCTAACTTGGAGTTGCTAAACGTTGCTGTCTTTCTCATATGAGGTGCTGTGCTATCCACTTTTCTTGATTTCTTTTGGTGGTTTGGATCATTCTTTCAAAAACATATTTATTAAATATTTATAACATTCAAAAGTTTTCTGTAAGAAATGTCTAACTCAATAAGTTATGCCTTTTAAAAAGTCCTTGTTTAGCTGGCCTGGGCTGGGTTCAAACCCGCCAGCCTAGGTATATGAGGCCAGCACCGTAACCACTGTGCTACAAGCCAGGTGTTATGATGGGCACCTGTAGTCCCAGCTACTTGGGAGGCTGAGGCAACAGAATCGCTTGAGCCCAAGAGTTTGAGGTTGCTGTGAGCTGTGATGCCATAGCACTCTACTGAGGGCAGCATAGTGAGACTCTGTCTCAAAAAAAAAAAGTCCATGTTTACTAGAATTAGTGCCACGGAGTATTCCATCCCGGCTGTGGCATTTTGTAAATCTCCCCCTGGACATTGCTTCGTTTGCCAACTCTCTACATCAACAAATACACGAGAATGAATGTATAGCCCCAAGAGAAATTACTGGATTCTAGCTAAGCAAAAGGAAGTCGATTGGTCTTTATAAATGGAATCTATGAGACACATTTTCTTCTCATTTCTTTATCCCAGTTCTCTGTTATTATTCTGAACACTCCCACAGATAGCCTTGATGAGACCACAGACAATTCTGTGATACTTTTAAGGAGTTAGAAAGAAATCTAGTACTTTGATTGTCTGACTGTCCAAGTTCAATGAATATATAATGGCCTTTCAGAAAGACTTTTAGTTTTAATGTTTTCCTAACCTTTTTCTATGCCATTTCTTATGTTTTTATATAGCTAACTGCTTTAAAAGGAGTGTTACCTTTGAAATTCACTCCAACCTAATATATATATATAATGATTTCAAGTAGTTTTTCTTTTCGAGGTCTTGTCATAAAGCCATATGGACGGTGTCAGCTAAAATCCTTTTGAAGTTCAATTTATTTTAACAAATAAGAAATAAATATATTTTAAAAGTGGTAACTCAATGGTATAATTATAGAAGATGGCACAATTCGAGGGAAGGTAAAACCTGCCACTTACCTTTCCACTTATCTCAAGTGAAAAGTTAGTTTGCATCTGGGCCAGTGTCATTTTGTGGTAAAGAAGCATTGGATCATTTCGGTCTTCAGGTTTAGCTGTTGCCTATGAATTTAATTTCTGATCATTATTTTAGGACCAAGAATTCTTCAGACAAGTAAGAGAAAAAAATCTATAAAACAGGTCCAGCCTCATTGGACTTCCATGTTTTATAATTTATTTTGTCATCTAAAAAAGTGAACTGTAAAAGTATATTCAGTAACAATTCCTGCCATACGGCTGCAGTGTCACATTTAAATTCTTCAAAAATCTTTCTGTGTTTTCACAACTGCCAAGCCCCATACACAGTATTTGTGGTCTCTGGCTCACGGCCAGCTCAGTCATATCTGTAGCTGTTTCATATTATAACTCTCTTGAACATAGTCCTTTCCAATTTATATCTCAAATACTCCCCCCTCCCCCCCAATCACTCAGTGTCCTACTTAAAATCCACCCCGGAGGGGGGAAAGTACAACAGTTTTTACAAGAATTTATGGCAAGTAACACAGAAAATTCCCAGGACACAGCAAGTGAAGTTGCAAGTTATCCGAGGAGAACGGCAACCACACCTATTTTTGAGACTGTCCTCCCACCCTTCTGAACAGTTTAATCCTCTACAAGTGACAGCATCCATTTTTTTCCTCTGTTGAATTGAAAAAAGAAAAGAAAGAAAATTGTGACAGCGACTCCCCAACAAGTGGTTGAACTAAGTAAAGGTAATTTGAAGCAAGAAGACACAAAAGATCGTTTTAAAATGGGAATGAGCTCTCAGTGCCTGGGACTCCAGTTCCCCTTTAGGTCACTTGTTTATTCTTTTATTGACAACAATTATTTATTGAACATCTCCTGCATGGACTACTATGCTGGAAATTGTTCAGACATACACAGGTGATCTCTTAACAAGAGATCGTGCTAAGACCCCCATGCTAATCTCAGAGTCCAAGACAAGAGTGAAAATAGAGACATAGGATTCTGAGGTAAGATTGAGCTGCTACAGAACTGAGGCAGTCAAAGCAGGACACGGTTTGGGAAGGTGCAGGTGGTAAAAACCCAGGACAGGACTATTCTCTTCTAACAAATTCTGGTGCCAACATAGAATCACGTGGAACTCATCAAACGCCCTTCATCCAGCACTAGCTGCAAGCACATTCTGGCCTTAACTGGAGAGTTCTGGTTTCACGCAGCCCCAGGAAAGCCAAAATTGCCCTCCATAATTTTTATTCTTCTGAATTTTGATGAAGCCAAGCATACAGGGAGCTGGGGGTGCCAGTTGTTCTCTGCAAGGAGAGAGAGCAAATCTGACTCTGGGCTCCACTGATAACCTAGAACTCAGACTTCATTCACTTGAAACTGCAGGGCCCAGGCAAAGGAGTATCAGGGAAGAAAGTGCCAACTCAGATTCCAAGGGCTCATCTAGAGCCAGAGGAAGTTCAAGGGTACACTTGTCAGACTTTGCTGTTAAGTCCACCTTGTGCTACACTCCCTTAGAGGTCTAACAACCTGAATCTGACACGTGACGATGTCAGGGCTAAAACTTCTTAGCAAAGGGATAGAGACAACCTTTATAATCACTTTAAACTTTAACATAAAATAAAGTAAAACGGTGTATAGCAAAGCTAAAAGAGTTTTGCATGGGTCCCGAGTCTCAAGCGCATCTAACAACAGCCTGACTGAGGAAGGTAAAATTCTGATGCAATCCACTTAAGATAGGCAATTTGGTGTTTAGTATTTGTCAATTTGACCCAGTTTACCTCAAAATTCTATAGTTTCAAAGGCACTCTGGAGGTCAGTGATCTCTTACTGAGCCATGCGTTTTTATCAGCTGGTTAAAGAGTTTCACCTTTTACCCTTAAAACATGATACAGACAGGGAAGGAAAAGAAGGTGGTTAAGATTATTCAGAATATCAGAAAAAAATGTATTTTACATTGGCAATTTCCTTTTCCAACTCCATAACTCTATTCATTTCCAAAGTTATCTGGCTTTCATTGATGGGCAGTCTCTCTTCCTGACGTATCAATTTGGCCACAGCAATCATAAAATCCACATATGCTGTGCAAGCCTGCAAGAAATAAATAGCAGCAGGTATTAGAGACCCTTCTAAACATCCTAACACTTTAACTTACAATTTGTTTTCAATTCAACATTAATATCTGGTAATAGATAAAGCATAGCAAAGTAGAATCCTTTCCAAAATACTTAATGAAATGACCTGCAGATTCTTAGATGGTCAATGTTTCTTTGAATTAGAGCTTAGAGCTGAGCAATAAGGCATCACTTTGAAAGTCCTAAGGAATTTGGCAACTTGAGACCAACTGGTTACAGAGATCTTACAATCTTCAGTTTTCAATCAAGGTATTTTGCTATAATAAGAATGCCAAACACTGGATAAGTAATAACGCACAATATTTTCTTAAATAATAATACAATTTCTTACCAAATCTCTTTTTCTCAGGTTTTCTGTGTTTATCTATATCCCAATTATTTTTCAATTATCATAAAGAGATGACTACAAACTCATGTAATATCATCAGGACACCTGTAAAGCTGTCTCCTCAGGCCAAGCAGTATTTTTTTAACAAGGCTATTGTGTTCCTAAGAACTCCAGCACTCACCTGTGGGTTTTAGTTAATTGTATAACCAGCCCCTGTTACTGGGAAATTTCATTTCACTGTAAGATACCATAAATTTAAGTATCAGCTTTCTTCCAAGAACTCAAATTCATTGTATTTTATCTTCACATACATTTGAATTGGCAAAACTAAGCTGGTTTTGCCAGTTACATTACTGACCTTTTACAGTCTATATAAATAATTTATAAAGTTTAGAGTGAACACGAGGACACTGAATCTCACTTTTGCTAGGTCTCATTTCATTGCTTTTTATTAGCCATTATTATCTGTCAGCAATTAAAATAAATTATAATTCCACATTCATTTAGAATTTACCCCAAATTCTGACCCCAGCTTTACTACTGGTGAAGGAGGCAGTTGTGATGAGCGAAAAGGTGATCTTCTGTGCTTCTAAGACTTATTTATAGGTTAAATACACAGAAAAGCTATAGAGTTCTGAAGACTTTTACAGCTTTACAAATGTTTATCCCTACTAATCGATTATAAATGAACAGGACACCCTTGTATCCACTGTGAGTGCAAAGGCACATCTAGTTTTACACGGACTTCATATTCAAAGATAAAGCTGATATAGAAATGAAATATCTTATTCAGCAAGAACCTGAGAAAATGTATCAAGTTATTATCAATCTGAAAGTCCAGAGGTTTCCATACTGGCATTCCATGGCCTTTATTAAACGCTAAGTAAACATTTCCTTGGAGAGAAGGGCTCTCTCTTTCCATGGAAACTGCAATGTTGGGGCTATCTAGCTAGCATTTCTATCCATGGATTGGTACTCAAGGGAGCAAATACTTTTTTGGCTGTGTATCTGCATTAAAAACCTAATTACTTCTTCTAAGTGAAGTATCCCAGGAATGGAAAAACAAACATCACCTGTGTCTAATACTATGTTGGAACTAGTAAATTAACACCTACACTACACATAAGAGAAAAAGTGAATGAAGTTCAAGTGGGGAGGATGAGGGGAGAGGATGGGGGTGGGTAAATTCCCACGCAGTGGGTACAATGCCTAGGTCTATGGCACACTACCTGAGTGTGGGACACACCCACAAATCGGACTTTAATGTCATAAATGCAAACAATGGGGTCTACCTGTTTGTATCCCCACAGTAATCTGAAATAGAAAATAACTAAAAAAATTTGAAGAAAGAACACCCCCCCAAAAAAATCTAACCATGAAGGGTAACAAGAATAAAAAGATGATTTTATATATATTCTTGCTAACATCATTCTTTTTCTATTAAAAAGTAATCAGAATTTTTGTTTCACTTTGAAGGAAACAAATACATTTGAGTTTGTACCTCATGAGACCAACTGCTACAAATAATATAAGCATGCAGTATTTTGGATTAATTGTACTTCAAAGCATATAAATCCCTTTGTCTTTAGTAAGGAATTACTACTATCAAGGAGACGGTGATTTGAATTTTTCAATATCAATCTACTAAGATTGTCTTTATATATGGGATGGTTTTTGTTAATGAGGTAAGAAAACAATGACAAGAATCCTGTTGTGCGCTTTCTCCACTCTGCAAACTGGTTCTACTTCAGTGTCTTCATCTCTACAGACTTTGGAAATTTAACACAAGGCAAGCGCAAGAACTTCGAAGGACGCTTCTAGCCTGCCCTGCTGAACTAAGGAAGTTTCTCAGGAAACTGGAAGCACATTGTGTCAGGAGTCTCTGGGATGTTTGGATATTAATATAGCTACATGGAATGTCCTACGTTTAATGAGGTCCATTAACGTGACTAGTGAAAATGTGTGTCCTGGTATTGTGATTCTTTTTTCTGGCTTCCAAATTGATCTAATAGTGGTCAGAACAAGCTTATTGCTGACGTTAAATCCCATTTACAAGATGTGATTGTAAATGTCAGGTTTCACTTTTCATGCTTAAGATACTTCTAGATATGTAAAATGCCAAATAATTATAATTGTCTTGATTTGGGGAGAAAGTAACCAAATACATATTTAATGTTAAAATCATAGATTGGTGAGGATAATTTTTTTTACATTGAAATTTGATTTTGTGTGTGTGTGTGTGACTGAGAGCAATTATTACTAGTTATTAGGACACAGGCTGGGGTCAGCTATCATTTTTGACAGTCATTAGGCAGCTTCTTTGTAGCCGTGAGACAGTCTATCACAATGATCCTTTATTTGAAGAAGAAAGCACCAAAACATCCATGCAGCTCTTTCTTTAAAAAATAAAAAATTATATATATATAATATATAAAACAAACATAAAATTAATATAAAATTATATTTTATAATATATAAAAAGCAAACAAAAATTGTATATATTATATATATGTGTGTGTATCAGCACCTACTATAGTTTCAAAGGGGACAATCATTTTTCAATGGTTAGGTAAAATCCATGTAGTAGCAGTTTTGTGAGTTTTTAAATCACACACCATCAATGAGTTGATATTTGCTAATACTCAACACCATTTATAAATTGGCCCCTTAGAAGTGAGGCTTCTTCTGCCTGGGAAAGAACTGATGTTTGTTAGATTTGCCAAAGAGGAAGAGAGCATGATGATTGATGATTATCTTTCAAACTTTAATATCATTCTTGATGAATGACAGAAAGACCCAAGGAGGCACAGAAAGCTCTTCAGTCAGCTTGGCTGGTATCTGGATTGTTTAGTGGACCAACTATCCAAAAGATTCTGTTTGAGATACCCAGCTCTTACCAATTTTCTGTCTTTCCCTTCCTGGGAAGAAAACTCACACCATATGGAGTATGAAGTGATTGGGATTTCATAGGACTGTGCTATTCTTGGCCACTGATGTTGGGGGACATTTAACAGTGTTACACAAGAAGTGTGCTGGGGGGTCCACTGGGGGTCTACGCAGGAAAGTTATGTTTCCTATTGAGAAGGCTGGCAAACTTTTGGCAGCATGGCAAGGAGGGTACAGCTGCCAGCACAGAGAGACTCAGTTCCCTCGGAGGGACTGGAAGCTTACAGTCACAGCCTTTCCTGGGTTCTGGAAGTGAGAAACAGCCTCAACCCAAACAGTGCAGCAATAACACAGGGCCCAAGAGGATCCACCCTGGAGCAGCATGGGGACTGGCTGAAGCTTTCCTCGGGCTACTAAAGAGAACCTAGAGGTTCGTACAACAATTTATTGTACAACTTCTAAGGTTTATTTTACATGTTTGGGAAGCTGCACTCAGTTCTTTTTATAAACTGGGTTCAACTGATCTCAAATAATTCTCTTGTCATATTCTCTAAGTCCCAAGTAAAAAAAGCCTCTTTATGTTTTGTTAAATACAGATACCTAGACTGGGTGAAATATTTTCACTGTTAGTCACTGGGTACCCAGAAAAGACAAAATGAGGTCAGTAGTTTCCCTTGCAGGTGTGTTGCCAAGTCAAAACCGTGTGATATGGCAAGGTTAGCTCTAGGTGACCGCCCTAGCACATACTGGCTGACCAGTCTCTCTTGGAAAGACCAGAACACTAAATAGAATCATTAAAAGTCAAGGGGCAAGATTTTTTCTTGTCTTCATTTCTACTCAATACAGATTCCTTAGCAAGGAATCTACAGTCCATCTGTACCCTGAGGCTAAAATACTCAGCCTACTAACTTCATTATAGGAACATGGAGGTCTCCATATGATGGCAGTATGCAATTTTTTTTTATGAATAGGGTCCAATACATTTAAAAGATTGCAGTGAAAGGATACTTTGAAATTGCACTCCTGAAATAAGCAATACTCTTATTTCTTTTCTTCTGTCCACGGGATGAAATCATATCAAAGGCATTTGTACCCTTCCAGATGTCAGCATGGTTTATTTTATATTTTGGGAACCCAAATTAGGATTCAAAGACACTTAAGCAATTCTCAATAAATCTCATTGTATGTGAGGTTTATATGTCACTGGGCCCAGAAAAAGTGGTAGCCTTCTGCCATGACATTTGGGAAGTTCTATTTAAATCTCCTGGGAAGGGAAGCTTTACACAACAGGATGTCACACAGATAAATCCAAACCAGTAAAACATTCCAAATTTTTAACATGTAGATTTTTTCCAGTATTAACACAAATGTCTATATGGCCTTCCGATACGTATTTGGCCTGCATAACACTGAATTATCAGCTTTAGATTATAAACTTCAGGAAAAATATAGTGTTTATTTTTGGTTGCCAGCTTGTGTCATGCATGGGAGCTGACTTAGTTAATACTTTTAAATGAGATTTGCTCTCTAGGTTTTTTGTAGAAATAGAACCTTCTATAAGCAAAGCTCTATTGAGAACAGAACCATAGTAGGGTGGGCTGTAGTAGCTATGTCTCTCTATCTTCTCATAACAAACCTGCTATTCTGTTTCTTCTTTATGGAACTAGATGGGTAGGTCCTACCAGCTAGCTAATTGGAGAGCCCCGTTCCCTGAACACAGTGATTGGTCAAGAGAAAAGTAG